CTCATGGTTTTATGTAGCAATGTCTGCATTTGCATCCGTTATGAAAAAGAAGTGTGTGAGATGTCTTTAAATGCATAGGAAAGCATCTCAGTATACGTAAAATGATTGTAAGTTCTTACATGGCAAGTAGATACAGATGTTGTGTTTGGGTTGAATGCCCATTTAATGAGGACCAATATTACATGCTTTGGAAAGAGGAAGAAAATTAGATGGAAAGGAGAGAGTAAGTGAGAAATTAGGTATGGCATTAGGGCAAATTACTAACGAAAGCAGAATGTGAAACCTATAGATACAAAAACAAAAGCCTCAACTTTGTGTTACTCAGGAATGTATAAACCTTAGAATAATTCAATTCTAGAAGCAAATAAAAAGTGAGTCATTTTATGAAATGCCTCAGCAACCTAATCAGAGGTTCATTTTAAGAATAAATCACAGCATTCCACCAATAGATAAATGGATAAAGAAGATATATATATGTATATATATATGCAATGGAATATTACTCAGCCATAAAAATGAATGCAATCTTGCTATTCAAAACAACATGGATGGAGCTAGAGAGTGTAATGCTAAGCAAAATAAGTAAATCAGAGAAAGACAAATCCCATATGATTTCAATCATATGTGGAATTTAAAAAACAAAACAAATAAGCAAAGGGAAAAAGGAAAGCAAACCAAGAAACAGACTCTTAACTATAGAGAACAAAGTGATGTTAACCAGAGTGGAGGTGAGTGGGGGGATGGGTAAAATAGGTGATGGGGACTAAGGAGGGCACTTGCTGTGATGAGCACCAGGTGTTGTATGAAAGTGTTAAATCACTATATTGTACACCTGAAACTAAGATTACACTGTATGTTAACTAACTGTAATTAAAATAAAAACTTAAAAAAAGAATAAATTGCAGCAGACCAATTAACTGAATTTTGCTGATTTTAATTGCCTATTATTTTTTTCCAGCAATTTGATCATTATTTTAACTTATTTCAACAATTTCCTTACTCTTCTCAGAGTGACATTCTCAGATGTAACTGCCTTTAAAAAAATGCTGATTCTGTAAATGTAAAAACTTACAGTCAATTTCCTTCCTTTACAGTTATAAATGAAAAGGAATCACTTGGGTTTGTACCCTTCCACCATCTTTGCAGGGGATTTAATGAGGTGGAGAGGGAGGGCAAGATGGAGAGAAAGTACTTTCTTTGATGGAGGTAGAAAGTGGAGGAATGGGTTATACCCAAAGACAGCTGATTCATTTAATCTCATCAACCATTTTCACCACCTCCAAGAATCAGACCCTGAAGCAGAGTTGGACACTTCTGGAAGTAAGTGAGCAAAAATTTCAGTATAGGATACCTCTAGGTGGGAAAAATTCAGATAACCCTGCCTCGGTAGTTACTTCGTTAAATACTGCCATGAGATAAACTGCTTTGATTGAACATTTCCAATCTCCTCGAGAGACAGGGTTTCTTTCAAATGGGTTCTAACCTCCTAACACTTTCCATCTGAAGATGCATGATTCTTATTTTTTCTTAAAATTTTTTGAGTATAGTTGACACACAATGTTACATTAGTTTCAGATGTACACATAGTGATTCCAGTCTTTTACATAATACTCTGCTCATCACGAGTGTAGCTAGCTTGCACCTGTCACCATGCAGTGCTATTACAATACACTGACTATATGCCCTGTCCTATAGCTTTCATCCCTGTGACTTATTCATCCCGTAACTGGAAGCCTGTATCCCCCTCTGCCCTTCACCCATTTTGCCAAACCTCTCATCCCCCTTCCCTCTGGCAACAGTCGGTTTGTTCTCTGTATTTATGAGTTTGTTTCTGGTTTTTGTTTGTTTTTTAGGTTTCACATAGGAGTGAAATCATTGGTATTTGTCTTTCCCCATCTGACTTATTTCACTTAGCATAATACTTTCTAGGTCCATTCATGTTGTCACAAATGGCAAGATCTCAACCTTTTTTATAGCTGAGTAATATTCTATTACATATATAGATTACATCTTCTTTATCCATTAATCTATCAATGGACATTTTCTTCCATATCTTGGCCATTGTCAGTAATGTTGCAATAAGCATAGGGGTGCATATCTCTTTTCCAATTAGTGTTTTCCTTTTCTTTGGGTAAATACCCGGTAGTAAAATTACTGGACCATTAGGTATTTATATTTTTTTATTTTTTTGAGGAACCTCCATACTGTTTTCCACAGCGGCCGCACAGTTTTGCACAAGGTGCACAAAGGTCCCTTCTTCCCCACATCCTTACCAACACTTATTATTTTTTTTTTAAGATTTTATTTATTTATTCATGAGAGACAGAGAGAGAGAGAGGCAGAGGGAGAAACAGACTCCCAAGGAGCAGGGAGCCCGATGCGGGACTTGATCCCAGGACGCTGCGATCATGACCTGAGCCGAAGGCAGACGCTTAACCATCTGAGCCACCCAGGCGCCCCCAACACTTATTACTTATTGATTTTTTTGATCTAGCCATTCTAACAGGTGTGAGGTGATACCTCATTGTGGTTTTGATGTGCATTTCCCTGATGTTGACATCGTTTTATGTATCTGTTGGCCATCTGTATGTCTTCTTTAGAAAAATGTCTGTTCAAGTCCTCTGCCCATTTTTAATTAGATTGTCTTTTTTGGTGTTAAGTTGTGTAAGTCCCTTATATATTGAATATTAACCCCTTATCAGATATATTGTTTGTGAATATCTTCTCCTATTCATTAAGTTGCCTTTTCATGTTGTTGATGGTTTCCTTTGCTGTGCAGAAGATTTTTATTTTGGTGTAGTCCCAATAGTTTATTTTTGCTTTTCTTTCCCTTGCCTCAGGAGACATATCTAGAAAAATGTTCTGATAGCCAATGTCAAAGAAATTACTGCCTATGTTTTCTTCTAGGAATTTTATGGTTTTTTTGTCTGGTGTTTAGGTCTTTAATCCTTTTTGAGTTTTTTTTGTGTGTATGGTGTAAGAAAGTGGTCCAGTTTCATTCTTTTGTAGGTAGCTGTCCAGTTTCCCCAGCACCCTTTATTGAAGATACTATCTTTCCCCCATTGTATATTCTTGTCTCCTTTGTTATAGATTAATGGACCATATAAATGTGGGTTTACTTCTGGGGTCTCTATGCTGTTTTATTGATCTATGCATCTGTTTTTATGCCAGTATCATACTGTTTTGATTACTACAGCTTTGCAGTATATCTTGAAACCTGGGATTGTGATGCCTCCAGTTTTGTTTTTCTTTCTCAAGATTGCTTTGGCTATTTGGGGTCTTTTGTGATTCCATACACATCTTAGTATTATTGTTTTCTAATTCTGTGAAAAATGCTATTGGTATTTTGATAGGGATTGCATGAAATCTGTAGATTGCTTTGGGTAGTATGGACATTTGAACAGCATTAATTCTTCTAATCTATGAATATATCTTTCCAGGTAACAATATATAATATTTCTATATATAATATCAGTCACTGTAAATAGTGACAGTTTTAGTTCTTCCTTTCTGATTTGCATGCATTTTATTTCTTTTTATTGCCTGATTGCTCTGGCTGGGACTTCTAATACTGTGTTGAATAAAAGTGGTGAGAGTGGGCATACTTCTTCCTGACCTAAGAGGAAAAGGTTTCAGCTTTTCACCATTGAGTATGTTAGTTGTGGGCTTGTCATAATAGGACCTTTACTATGCTGAGGTACATTTTTAATAAATCCCTAAATAACATATTTGTTTTTAGTGATTTTCTTCTTTCCATTTCTGCTGGAGTTACTTATTTCTCCATTCATTTAATAATTCAACTCATGCTTATTGAGCATCTACTATGTTTTGCAGTATAGCCCTCATTGCTGCCAATGTGAAACCGATCACTGTACACTGTAAGCTCTGGAGTTTGTGGGAGAAAGAAAATAAAAACAAACCATTACCCAAATCACTGTTATTATTCTGAACTGTTTGATTTGTCTTTACCTTTGTACCACTATTGACATAACCTAATGTGGAAGGAAGGGGACCCTTTTAGAGAGCATCAGTTAGTTTGAACCATTCCCAAAGATCCACAGATGACCTAGTTTAGTTTGTAGGGTAGGGATGGATCCGCTGATAGTTTTACACTAAGACTTGGAAGAGTTGCCTGGGTTTTACAGGTTAGTATGAAATACACTGTGTACTGCTTCAGTAAGGTGAGGTGTGGTTGGCTTGCTCTGAGCTGAGTACCATGACCAAAGAATCTACAGCAGAACCAGATATGGATACAGATACTAGAAATGATGGTACCAAAATTTATGAGGTCAGATTTGAGGGGAAGTACTCTAAATCCCTTCCTATGGCTATACTTCCATAGATCTCAAAGGAATCCCTCTGAGGCTGGCACCTGACAGTATTCAACCTATACTCGATAAATTTGCTATGAACTTATGCACAGATACTTACTGAATGTTTGTGTGCTAGATACTATGCTATGCATTTTGAGGAAGTAGGAAGGTGTTTAAGAGTCAGTTCCTTTTTTCAAGTGCCTTACCTGTTACTTGGAAGAGACAGATGAACGTGTGAAACAATAGTAATAGTGAAAGATGGTTTGAATGCCTGGATTCAAGGTAGAAAGGGATATAAATAAGTGGAAAAAGGACCATTTTACTAAGATCTTTGGAAAGCTTGGAGACCTAAGATAACCTTGCTTTGAAATCTGGGAAATAAAAATAGAATAGAAATGTGCTTTGTTGGGGGGGGAGGGGAATTTTCCCATCAAGGGTAAGTGTTTGTTTTAGATTGGGTTCACCAGATAAGGATTTGAGTGAAGTGATCACAGGAAGCCCCAGTGGAAGAGTGGAAATTGAGACAGAGAAGGGAAGGAAGCACATAAACATTGTTATTGAGCAAGTTACTACTCTTGACATCCAGAGCTCAATCCTACAATATAGAATGCACTTCAGAGGGGCAAGGAACCTGGGATATTTATTCTCCAGCCCTCATAAATCACTGGTGGAGGGCTGTTCCACACAGGTGTTAACTCCTCGGAACTTCCAGCTGAGAGAAAGCCAACAGGTAGAGAGTCACGGGTTTGTGTCCTAGGATCAGCGGCATACCCTGAACCCACACACCATGGTGAGATGGAGGCGGGGGGGTCCTACTTTTGGAAATAGTCCTACAGAGGCTCTCAGACTTGGCATTAATAGCATTCTGATACTTAAATCTGTTTGAAGTTGACTTTGCTGCAATAAATGTAAAAGATAAGGTGGGGCAGGGTAAACAGTTTAGAATTGGCTAGTTTGAATAATTTTGGCAGACTCTAAACTATGGGAGTGGTCCCTAGTTGTCCTAGTGGCCGTGGGGTGATTAAGGCAGAAGAATATTACCTCTTGGGGTACACGGACCAGAGAGAGGAAGCAGGGTTCTAGATTGGTTAATTTGCATATCGAAGGCATGCTCCTGGCAGAATCCTTTACTATCTCTAAAAATTGGCCAGCCCCAGAAAGGTCAGTCTTTCCCCAGACAGAATTTTTCTTTTTTTTTAAGATGTCAAAACATTATAATATACAGAAAACTAAAAAATGTATATGATATACTCTGGATCTCCAGATACTACCTTATTTGGTTGCAGAAATTGCTCACCTGGACTTAATGTCTGGGTTCTGGGTATAATTTCTTACTCTGCCACCAGCACTCTCTTATTATATTTCCCATAGTTTATATAATAACAACCAGCTATTACATATAGGCAGTCACTTTGCAACCATGAAAATAATGACCAGCCTATGGGCAAGAGCCACCATTTATGTTTTGGATGGCAAGGCCTGGGAAGGATTCATCCCAGCAGGCAAACCTATCACACAAGGGGGTTTGCACAGTGGTGTATACCAGTGTGCGTGGGGAGCAGAGAACTATAAAGGAGAGTACTTTCAATAGGCATTCATGAGTCTCAGCATGAGGACCTTTGGCAATAATGATTTCACGAGCCTTCTCAGCAGAAACCTTGTCAGTAGACAAGAAAGAGAGACGATAGAGGAGAGGAGAAATGTGGCAGGCTCAGAATGGCTGCTGAGGCAGTTGTACTCATTAGCATATGTGAGTTCCCTTATGAACACCTAGGTTTGTTTGCAGAAGGATTTGGAGGTTGCTCTCTGTGGGGTGGTGGACATGGTGGGTGGGGGTGTGAGGAGGTGGAGGGCAGAGAAATGCTATTCCTTATAGTAACATAAGGGTAGGCTGCCTGGGCATCTCAAACATTTTTTGTATTATGTAGGTCACATTTTCATTCAGTATCCAGTAGAATGATTTAGCTGCCATCCAGTGAATGGGGGGAAACCCAGTATTCCTTAAAATCATCATGAGTAACCACCACCACAACATCACCAACCAAAGAGTTCTGGGTGTTTGTATATTCTCTCTACATACATTATCTCCTTTATGCTCATGATAACTCCTCGGAGTAAATTCTATTATAATTTTCATTTTAGAGGTAAGGAAACAAGTATAAAGAGGTCAAATACTCATCTAAGACCACTGTTTTAGTCAGCTTGGGCTGCTATAACAGAACAATAGACTGAGTGGCTTAAACAACAAACATTTATTTCTCATAGTTCTTGAGGTTGGGAAGTCCAAGATCAAAGTACCAGCAGATTTGGTGTTTAAAGAGAACATACTCCCTGGTTCATGTGTCCTCACATGGCAGAATGGGAGCAAAAGGAGTTCTGTGGGATCTCTTTTATAAGGGCACTAATCTCATTCATGAGGGTGGAAACCTCATGACCTAATTACCTCCCAAAGGCCCCACTTCTAATACCATCACACTGAGGGTTAGGATTTCAACATGAATTTGGGGGATATCATTCCATTGCATTCTGCCCCTGCCTTCAAAGTTCATGTCCTTCTCACATGCAAAATGCATTCATTCCATTTCAACAAGCCCCCCAATCTTAACTCTTTCTAGCATCAACTTAAAGTATAAAGTCCAAAGTTTCATCTAAATATCATCTAAATGAGATATGAGTAAGACTTATCTTGAAGCAAAACTCTTCTCTAGTCGTGAACCTGTGGAATCAAATAAATTATGTACTTTCAAAATACAGTGGTGGGAGAGGCATGGGCCAGACATTCTTATTCTAAAAGGAAGTAGGAAAGAAGGAAGGCTGAAGGGTCCTAGCAAGTACAAAACCTAGTAAGGCAGCTCCTTGATATTTTAAGGCTTGAGAATAATTCTCTTTGGTTTGATGCTCTGCCTTCTGGCCCCACTGGAGCAGTGGTCTCTCCTTCTGAACCCACTGGGGCAGATGTCCTACCTTCTGGACCTATTAGGGTAGTAATATCACCTCCAGAGCTCTGCAGAGCCCTGCCCAGTCCCTGTCTTTCTGCAGTGGCACCGCTCATGTTGCAGGTCTATCAGGGCTAGAGATGTGACCCAGAGCTCTATGGAGCAGACCAACCCCACTGCTCTGTTAGGCATCCTTCCTTTGAAATCATGGTGGAGGCAGGCTTGCCTTTCTGGACCTGTGATGGGAGTGGCAGCCCTGATATCTGAATTGCCTTTGAGGTTCCTCTTCTCTTCTTCCTTCTCCTCTTCTCTTGTACTTGCAGCCAAAAAGTGCTCTGGCCTGGTCCTGTTGGATCTAAGAAGTCCAACAGTCTTCCTTCATTTTGTCCTGCTTGCTCTGTTTCCTTTAGTTCACCTGGCAGTGTTTCTGCTGGTCTAAACCCATCTCTATTGCTGGATTTTGTTGAGATAGTTGATTAAGTCTTTGATGATTCCCATCTCTACTAATCTTATAAACAATTGCTCAACCACACCATTGGTGTTCCCTTCCAAACATGCTTTTTCATTTTTTGCAATATGGACAGGCTGAGAATTTTTTAAATCTTTAAGTTCTGGTTCCCTTTTGTTTAACAATTCCATCTTTAGTTCATTTCTCTCTTCTTTTATTATAAGCAGTCAGAAGGAATTATGCTACTTCTTTAAAATTTTGCTTAGAAAGGTCCTCAGCTAAATATTCAATTTTATTGTTGCAAGTTCTGCCTTCCATAAAACACTACAACTTGAATACAATTCAGCCATGTTCTTTGGCACTTTATGACAGGGATGGTCTTTTCTTCACCGTCTAATAACAAATTCCTCATTTTCATCTGAGCTTCTGTCAGAATGGTCTTTATCATCTGTATTCCTACCAACTCTGTGTTCATGACCTTTTAGGTATTTTCTAAGAGGATGGTTCTCCTCTTTCATTCTCTGTCATTCTCCTCTTTTCTTTCTGAGCTACAATTAGAAACACCTTTACAATTTTGTTCATGGCAATTGTGCCTTTTTCTAGCATGTATCTCAAACCCATCTAGTCTCTAGCATTACCCAATTCCAAAGCCACTTTCACATTTTCAGCAGCACCCCACTTCTCAGTGCCCATTTTTGTCTTACTCAGCCACACTGTTAGACAGCAGGACTGAGCTATGAGCCCAAGCAGCTCTCTGTGCTCTGATTTTTGCTTTTTAGTGGATTCTCTGTCTATTCTATATCCATTCTCTATCTCACTTCTGGTTATGTGCCCTTCTTGACCAACCTGTCATCACCCTTACACATTTTTTTCATTCCCTCAAAATTCCATTAATGTAAGAAGTCAGTTGTGTGTAGGAGATTGTTAGTAAAGTTTTGGAGACTGAGGGAAGGGGATTCCAGACTAGCCCAGTGCAGGTGAAACACCAACTTAAGACTTATTATTAGACACCACGGTGCTAAAAATCCATCAGCCGTTCTCCATTATGGAGGATTTCTCTAGACCATTTCTCTATCTGAGTCAGCCTTTATCTCCTCTTTCTCTAGGTTATTCCTTGTAGCAGATTAGCTTCAAACTTCTGTTCTAAACCAAGCAGTGGGCCTGGGTTTGCATATCCAGAAGTTTGTTTTGGACATGTTAATTTTGAGATACTCATTAAGTTCCCTGTGTTTCCTGTCCTTTCTTTCCTTTTATTTACCTTTTTGGCTCTTTAGCCTCTGGCATCCAGATCATAGTGCTAGTATTCACTCTTATTGAAATTGAGACTGGTGGTCCAAATAGAAATTTGTGTTTTTTATAGTACTGGTTTGCTCAGATTGAAGTATAATGGTGTCAGTGAAGTCTAGGTTAAAAGCTAAGGCTTGCAGCTAGTAGCTCAGCAAAAGGTAAAGTAAAATATTGTCTGACTTCTTCTCTCCGTATCTTTTCTTGTTTGTGCAACATGTACATTGAATGAGCTGCCTTTGTTATAACATGAGCCCAAAACATCTATGCTCCATTTCCTTGATGTCTTTCAAACTTACGGGATAATTCTTCCTGAAACTTTGGGAAATTTTCTGGCAGGTTACATAGCTGTATTCCTTCTTAGAAAGTGAAAGGTCTTCTGGCCTGGTTACAGGCCATTTCCATAAATAAACTGCCCAATCTAGTGCAATAATAAAAGCTTTGAATTACATTCAAATTTATTTTTTTTCCATCCTCCAATTGGGATCTCTTGGGTCTGGTCAGCCTGCTGCAGGGATTTGGGTATGAAGACTTCATCTCTGTTTCCCCGCCTTCTTCTTCCCACCCGTTCATTAGACTTCTTCCGCCTTCTTTAGGGTTTTTGTTGGTGGGTGAAGGTGAGGTCTCAGGTGGCTGATAAAATGTCATCTGTGATGGTATCTTCTGGGAGTTCCACCTTTCCAAGGCTGATTCTGCCTCTCATGGGCTACCTTTGTGTTTGTCTGTGATATCCACTCTGGGTCCTTTCAACTGCTATCCTCTAGATGCATTCAGCATTCCACCAGGCCTGCAGAGATTCCTTCTTCAGCCTCTGGCATCCAGCTCTTTATGCCGCATCCCTGGAATGTGTCTCTCCACAGCGGTATTCTTGGGCATGATTCATAGCAGCTCCTGGCAGCTCCCTGATTCATGGCCCACATTTGGTCCACAGAGAGGAAACACATTAACTCCCCAGAGTGGGTTTCAGAGCAGTTTGTTCTCAATGCCCCTTCTTTATCAAGCAGCCAGAGCCTCTTAGCTGGTCTCTTGCCTATAGACATTTTCATAAACTCCGAGAGAAAAGAGGCCAAGAGTCAGGCATAGGATCTGATTTAGTAGGTTGGCACTGTGGCCTGAGATTCT